GAAGGAAGAGGGAGAGAGAAATAGAAACATCCATGAGAGAGAACATTGATCAGCTGCCTCCTGCACACCCCCCAGTGGGAATTTGGCCCACAACCTGGGCATGTGTCCTGACCAGGAATTGAACCAGCAACCTCCTGGTGCATGGGTTGATGCTCAACCACTGAGCCACACCGGCCAGGCTAAGCTGAGAGAATTTTGAGGCACATGTTAGAGAAAGTCTAGATTGCTTTTAGGAGCCTATTGATAAAAATATAGACATTAAAGATGCTTCTGTTGAGGCCTCAGCCGGAAATAAAATATATGTCATTGAACATTGAAGGAAAGATGATCCTTGTTATAAAGACACAGAGCACTTAGCTGAATTGTATTCTAATGTTTTGTGAAAGGTACAATTTGTGAGTGATGAATTTGGATGTGTAGTAAATGTGACTTCTAAGTAAAGTGTTCAAGTGTGACAGTTTCTTCTTGTTGCTTATGGTAAAAAGTAAAAGTAGAGAGATAAATTGAAGAAGGGCATACTAAGGAAAAAGAAACCAGAAATGGAAGATTTGAAAAATTCTCAGTCTATTCTTTTTTCTTTAAATATGTTTGTATTGATTTTAGAGAAAGAGGAAGAAAGAGGGAGAGACTTGTCTCCTGTACATACCCCTACCAGGACCAAACAAGAAACCTGGGCGTGTGCCCTGATGGGAATCGAACCAGTGACCTTTTGGTGCATGGGATGATGCTCAACCCACTGAGCCACACCAGCCAGGGCTCAGCCTATTCTTACTGCATAAAAATGAGAAAGTGTATTCTAGACAGAACTCCAAGGTTATAGCTGGAAAAGCACTTAATAAAGAGATTTTGGATATGACTCACAAATGTAATCATCCATTGCAGCAGAAGCCTGGGACAGATGAGGTTATACCATCAGAAAAACTGCTGGTTTAGGCTAAAAGGAACAAATATTTGAGAAAACAAAGAAAGGCTATTGGACCCCTGGGATTCTATAGGAAGGGAGTATAGAGCTATCCTCTGCTGTGAATGCTTTATCCTTCAAGAAAAGGAAAGAATAACTCAGATATTTATAGGGCTGCCACTTCCACCACAAGCCCACAGGGCATGGTCCTAGGGAGAAAGCTGTTCTTCCTCAGTTTCAGCAGGCCAAGCTGCTTAGGGCCTCAGGAGTGGAGCTTCTTTCTAGAGTAGAGGGAGTAGGGCTACCACCCCAGTGGGCCTGAGAACAGAGTATCATGCCAAAGAATATTATTTACCAACCTTAAAATCGTATGAGCCCTGCCCTGGCTGGTGTGGCTCAATTGGTTGGGCATGGTCCCATGTACTGGAAGGTTGCCGGTTAAATTCCTGGTCAGGGCACATGCCTGGGGTTGTGGGCTCAATCCCCAGTAGGGGGTGTGCAAGAGGCAGCTCATTGATGTATCTCACATTGATGTTTCTATCTCTCCCTCCTTCTCCCTTTCTCTCTCTCTAAAATATCAATAAAAATATTGAAAAAATTGGACAGCTACAAGCAAAAAAATGAAACTAGACCACCAACTTGCACCATACACAAGAATAAACTCAAAATGGATAAAAGACTTAAATGTGACTCACGAATCCATAAAAATCCTAGAAGAAAATGTAGGCAACAAAATCTCAGACATCTCACACAGCAGAATTTTCACTGATACATCATCTAAGGCAAAAGAAATAATAGAAAAAATTAATACATGGGACTACATCAAACTAAAAAGCTTCTGCACAGCAAGAGAAACAACCATCAAAATGGAAAGGGAACCCACTATATGAGAGAGCATAGTTGCCAATGATACATCAAATAAGGGATTAATTTCCAAAATATATAGAGTACTCATACAACTCAACCAAAGGAAGACAAAGAACCTAATTAAAAAATGAGGAGAGGACCTAAATAGACACCTCTCCAAACAGGACATACAATTGGCCAAGAGACATATGAAAAAATGCTCAACATCACTAATAATCAGAGAGATGCAAATTAAAACAATTATGAAATAGCACCTCACACCTGTCAGAATGGCCGCCATCAACAAATCATCAAACAAGTGCTGGTGAGGGTGTGGAGCAAAGAGGATTCTAGTACACTGCTGGTGGGAATACAGACTGGTGCAGCCACTATGGAAAAAAATATGGTGTTTCCTCAAAAAATTAAAGATGAACTGCCATCTGACCCAGTGATCCCACTTCTAGGAATATATCCTAAGAAGCCTGAAACACCAATCAGAAAGAATATATGCACCCCCATGTTCACAGCAGCACTATTTACAATTGATAAGATCTGGAAACAGCCCAGGTGTCCATCAGTAGACGAATGGATAAAAAAGCTATGGTACATATACACAGTGGAACACTATGCAGCTGTAAGAAAAAAAGATCTCTTATCCTTTGAGACGACATGGAGGGACCTGGAGAGTATTATGCTAAGCGAAATAAACCAATAAGAGAAAGACAAATACCACATGAGCTAACGTATTTTTGGAATACAATGAACAAAAAAAGATGATGAACAAAACAGACCCAGAGACATAGAAAGCAGTATGGTTCAGACTGACAAACCTCAGAGGAGAGGGCTGGGGGAGAGGGATGAGATCAACCAAAGAACTTATATGCATGTACCAATGGACATAGACAACAATTCTTGACGGGGTGGGGGTGGGGCGGGATCAGGGGGAGAGTGTCTGGGGGGAGAAAGAAAAAATATCTATAACAAAAATAAATTAATAAAAATAAATAAATAAGTAAATAATGGAAAATCAATAAAAACATATTTTTTACAAAATCTAATGGGTCCGCCTGGCTAGTGTGGCTCAGTGGTTGAGCGTTGACCCATGCACCAAGAGGTCGCCGGTTTGGTTTGATTCCTGGTCAGGGCACATGCCCAGGTTGTGGGCCAAATCACCAGTGGGGGGCATGCAGGAGGTGGCCAATCGATATTCTCTCTCATCAGTGTTTCTCTCTCTCCCTCTCCCTTCTCTTCTGTCTAAAATCGATAAAGGGAAAAAAATCTAATGGGTCCTGCCGGATAGCTCAGTTAGTTAGAGGGTTGTCCAAATACACCAAGGTTGCAGGCAGTTTGCTCCATGGTCAGGGCACATAGAAAAAGCAAGCAATGAATGCATAAATAAGTGGAACATCAAATTGATGTTTCTCTCTTTCTCCCTTCCTCTCGCTCTCTAAAAATCAATTTTTTAAAAAATCTAATGGAATTTTTCCTGGTAAGTTTTGCACTTGCTTGGGATCCATGAGCCCTTTCTTTTTTCCAGTTTTGGGATGGGAATGTCCATCCTATGCCTGTCCTACTTTGTATTTTGGAAGCAGAAAATTTATCTGGTTTCACAGGTTCACCGCTAGAGAGTAATTTTTGCCTCGGAATGAATCATAGCTCGTCTCTTCCACGCCTGATTTAGATTATATTTGGGACTTGGAGCTGATGCTGGAATGGGTTCAGACAATGGAGCTGTTGGGATTGCAGTGGTCTATTTTGCATGTGAAATGGACTTGAATTTTAGGGATCTAGATGGTGAGCTAAATTGTGTCTCCCCTAGAGTCTAATCCCCAGTACGTCTAAATGTGACTGTATTTGTGAAACTGAGGGTCTTTAAGAAGTTGATTTAATTTTGTTTTAAATCCTAGCTCTAGAAATCACCTCCTCCCCGTCCCTGCCACCCCAGAGACCTAGCCTATTCCCCCAAATAACCAGCAACTCTGGAGGTAGCAGAAGGCAGTAGCGTCCAAAGCAGCCTTCGCCTGACTAACGGTCACAGGGTCCCGGACTCTGGTAGGCTAAAGACAACATCTCTACCTAAGTTATGTTTCAGTCCTGAGCCCTAAGGTAGAAGAACACCCTGGCAACTTTCCCCGAGAGATGCTGGAGCTGTTCTCAAGACCTGAAGAAGTAACTTACTACCTTTACCTCACCTCCAACCAGTCAGCTCCCAACACAATCCCTAACCCCTAACTCACAGGTGTCTTGTAACTTTTCCCCTATATGATCTGCAAACTACTCATCATAGGGGAGTTCGGACTTCTGAGGATTAGCTCCCGGTTCTCCTGGGTGGTGCCATTTATATAAAACAGCCAGTATTTCTCTACTGCAGTTCTCGGCGTCTACGGTTGGGCTCTGCTAGCTTCTGGTGGGCCATCTCTTTCTGTTCTGCAACACAAGTGGCGACTCCGGTGGGGCTCAACCCCGAGTGGGCTTTCTGCCTGCAGTTCAGCAACCCTTGGCTGGTGGCGGTCTCAAGGTTCTGTGTCAGCAGCGGCCTGGACTGACTGTTTCAGGGACAGGCCTCCAGGGCTCACCACTGACTGGGCATGGCTGACCAACAGCACTTCTATTTTGCAGTGAGAGAAAGTGGGTACTTGGTTTAGGAGATATCTACTGGTGACTAACCTTGTGGGTAAAGACCCTAGGGATACCCCTCTGTTACTTTGGGTTGGGTGCTTGAAGGACTCATTTGACTTGGTTTGAGACTCCCCTTGTTGGTTGCATTAGAGAAAGGTTCTGAGGTTACAGTTAGCTACTAGGAATGATTACTAACCTGTATCTGTTATTTGTTGAGTCTGTGCCCAACCCATATGTGGAATTTTGTTTTTAACTTGAAACTGGTTTTGAGTTTTATCTAGAGCTGGCACATTAAATCTGAAAGTATTGTGTGTTTGGGGGGAAATGTATGAATGTGAGTGAGTGAGATGTGTTGTTTGTTGATGTCATTTGTTTTACAGCAAAGCTTTGGTCGTCTGAGCAGAATCTTAAATTAGTCCATCCGCCAGAAACATAATCTGGATCCATTTTTCCTCTGAGTTTTGAATCATACCTGGAGCACAAAAGTTCTCTATTGATGCTTATCTGTGTTTATCTGTCTTCGTATGTATGTTATAAATACAGCACATTTCTACCACTGAATGCTAATTTGTAATATTAACTTGTCTTAAATAAACAAGTGCTTATATGAGACTGCTCAAAAATAGAACAGGCTGTGCTGGGTTCCCAAGCACATATGCTAAAATTGGAATGATACAGAGAAGATTAGCATGGCCTATTTGCTAGAATGACACAAAAATTCGTGAAGCCGCCAGATTAAAAAAAAAAAGACCTGGCCAGTATAGCTCAATTGGTTGAGCATCGCCCATGCACTGTAGGGGCTTGGGTTTAATGCCCAGTCAAGGCACATGCCCAGGTTGCAGGTTTGGTTCCCAGTTGGGGTATGTGTGGGAAGCAACCGATGGATGTTCGTCTGTCTCTTCCATCAGTGTTTCTCTTTCTCCTTCCCTCTCTCTCCCTCCCCCTCTCTAAAATCATTTAAAAAATAGAACAGGCTAACCCAAATGTTTTTCAGAATTACACGATCATGATTTGGGAAAATGGTTTATATTAAAGCTGGTTCTGTGTTTGATTTGGTTAACTAGACATATCTTTAGAATTATTAGCATTAAATAAAACTTTTATTTTACTTGGGTTTATTAGTCAGATAAGTAAGCTCGTGTTATCTCTGTTGAAAAATTTGTCAACAAGAAAAATAACTTGGTATAGTAAAAATTTTTTTTTTTATCCTCACCCAAGGACATTTTTTCATTTTTTGTTTAGATAGAGTGGGGAGGGAGATAGAGAGAGAGAAACTTCGATGTGAAAGGGACACATTAAGTGGTTGCCACCCGTACGACCCAACCAGGGCCAGGGACAAACTGCAACTGAGGTATGTGCCCTTAGTGGGAACCGAACCCAGGTCTCTCTGGATGGCAGGCCGCCGCTCTAACCACTGAGCAAAACCAGCCAGGGTAGTGCAGTAAAATTTTTATAAGTAATCTAAACTTAATTGTTAGGAGAAAGTAAATTAAATAAATGTAAATAGGATAAAATGTTTATTTTTTTTTAAACTTAACTCTTTAGCAATAATAATATTGTATGTATACTTAAATAATTTTCTAAATCTCTTTGGGAACTTGAAACTTGAGAATTTTACTACATTAAGTGAAATGATAAAGTATTGAATATCTAGATATCTCTAAATAACATGAAATACTGAAACATTATTTACTAAATAAGTCTAAGTTTATCTACATTTGAACTGTTATTACAGAGAAACTAAAAAAAAAATTAGATATGTTAATGAAAATGTTTGGTGCTTTGCCAGTAAGAGAACTTATGTTTCTAAAGGTTATGAAATAGATTCATAAACTTGCCAATCTAAAGAATTTTAATTACTTACATTTTAGTTGTCAGTAAAAATTAAGCTTCTAAAGGTTATATATTCTAATTAATATAAAAAAAATGATGTGTGTTTTCAGTGAAGGAAGGTATAAAGTGTGAAAATACATTTTGAAGGAATTAAAAGAAAGTGGTTGTTCTAAAATAAGGTTGGTTATTTTAATAAGTAAGAAAAGACAAACTAAGGAATTAGGAAAGTTGTAGAAGGTCCATGGGAAAGGAAATTTTATGTATGGTCAAGCTGAATAAGATTAAAATAAATTTAATAGAGTGAGTAAATTGAAGTACCTATAGTAACTAATAAAGAATTAGAGTTTGGGACTTCCCGTCAAGATGGCAGGTAGGTAAACGTGGTATCGTGTCCTCCCACAACCACATCAAAGTTACAACTAAACTACAGAACAACCATCATTCAAAACCACCTGAAATCAAGCTGAATGGAAGTCCTACAACTACGGAATTAAAGCAGCAGCCACATCCAGACTGGTAGGAGGGGCGGAGGCACGAGGGCCGGTGGCAAGATGGGCTGGTCCCACACCCAAGTGTGGCAAATAAAAATCAGGAGGATACTTGGGCTGGTAAGGTCCTTCCTGAGGACTGAGGGGTCCCCATCCCACACCAGGTGCCCAGCTCAGGGTTCCAGTGCCAGGAAGAGAATCCCCATAACTTCTGGCTGGAAAAACCAGCAGGAACTGAGGCTCAGGGAAGCTGAGGCGGCTGGAGCCCCAGGCAGCTCCTTAAAGGGCCCGCGCACGGACTTATTGGACTCTCTCCCTCTAAGCTCGGAGGGGAGGCAGCTCCAGGGGCACCAGAGACATACAGGGAAGAACTGAGCTGTTTGGCACTGGGGCGAGGGCTGGAGAGGCGGCTTTCTCGGGGACATACGTGCTGTCAGAGGCCTTTGTTCTTTGGTGAGCCCTTCCTCGGCAGCAGACAGTCTCCAAATCTGGGACTCCAGCAACCTGGCTCACACTGGTAGCCCCGCCCTGGTGACTCCCTGAGGTTCTGCCCCACCCCACCTAACTTACAGGCCCACCCAAGCTATTGCCACTTGCTTAACCATAGGATTGGCCTGTCTTGGATCCTGCTTCAGGTTTTTCCTAAATTCTTTCAAACGAGCAGCATCTGGTCTCAGCTAGCCCTATACCGCTCGTTAAGTAATACACAGAAACAAACACAGGGAGGCGGCCAAAATGAGGAGACAAATAAACAGGTCCCAAATGAAAGAACAGAACAAAACCCCAAGAAAAGAACTAAGTGAAATGGAGATAAGCAACCTAACAGATGCTGAGTTCAAAATACTGCTTATAAGGATGCTCAATGAACTCAGTGAGAACCTCAGTGATCTTAGGGAGGGCCTCAAGAGCGTAAAAAAGGACCAGTCAGAATTGAAGGAGGCATTGACTGAAATAAAGAATAATTTACACAGCTTCAATACTAGAGTACGTAAATCCAAGAAGCAAACCATCGATTTGGAATATAAGGAAGCAAAAAATCCCCAATCAGAACAGCAAAAAGAAAAAAGAATCCAAAAAAAATGAGGATAGTGTAAGGAGCCTCTGGGACAACTTCAAGCATGCCAACATTCGCATCTTGGGGGTGCCAGAAGGAGAAGAGCGAGAACAAGAAATCGAAAACCTGTTTGAAACAATAATGGCAGAAAACTTTCCTAACTTGGTGAAGGAAACAGACATACAAGTCCAGGAGGCACAGAGAGTCCCAAACAAGATGAACCCCAAGAGGCCCACACCAAGACACATCATCATCAAAATGCAAAAGGTTCAAGACAAAGAGAGAATCTTAAAAGCAGCAAGAGAAAGGCAGCTAGTTACCTACATGGGAGTTCCCATAAGGCTGTCAGCTGATTTCTCAAAGGAAACTTTGCAGGCCAGAAGGGAGTGGCAAGAAATATTCAGAGTGATGAAAAGCAAGAACCTACAACCAAGATTACTCTATCTTGCAAAACTGTCATTTAGAATCGATAGCCATATAAAGAATTTCCCAGACAAGAAAAAGTTAAAGGAGTTCATCACCACCAAACCATTATTATATGAAATGATGAAGGGTCTTTTTGAAGAAAAAGATAAAATATATGAACAAACAAAATGGCAATGAATACATATCTATCAACAATGGAATCTACAAACAAAATGAACAGGTAGATCAGAAACATTCTCATAGATACAGAGAACATTTTGTTGGTTGCCAGATGGGAGGGGGTTGGGAGAATGGGTGAAAACGGTGAAGGGATTAAGATGTACAAATTCATTGCTAGTCTGACAAACTTCAAAAAGAAAGGGGTTGAGGGTGGGGGTGGGAAGAAATAAAACAAAGAACTTATATGCATAACCAATGGACACAGACAATAGTGTGGGAAAAGGCAGGAGGGGGGTGGGAGTGGGGAGGAGGGGGTCAATGGGGGAAAAATGTGGAACATCTGTAATACATTCTACATTCAACAATAAAGATTTTTTTTTTAAATCAGAAGTGTGAGTTTATTAATTAATTTTTGTTACAGATGTTTCTCCTTTTTCCCCCACTGATTCCCCCCTCCCCCACCCTCCCTGCCCTGTCCCCAGTTTGTTGTCCATGTCCACTGTTCATGCATACATGCATATAAGTTCTGAGGTTTATCTCTCTCCCACCATCCCCTCTTCTGGGGATTGTCAGTCTGTTCCCCACTTCCACGTCTCTGGGACTACCCCATTCCTCAGACTGTTATGTTCATTATATTCCACAAATAAGTGAGATCATATGATACTTGTCTTTCTCTGTTTGGCTTGTTTCACTTAGGATGATACTTTTCATGTCCCTCCATGTAGTCTCAAAGGATAAGAGAGCTTTCTTTCTTACAGCTGCGTGGTACTCCATTGTGTATATGTACCACTGCTTTTTTATCCATTCGTCTACTGATGGACACTTGGGCTGTTTCCAGATCTTAGCTATTATAAATAGTGCTGCTACAAACATGGGGGTACATATATTCTTTCTGATTGGTGTTTCAGGATTCTTAGGGTATATTTCTAGAAGTGGGATCACTGGGTCATATGGCAGTTCAATTTTTAATTTTTTGAGGTAGCACCATATTGTTTTCTTTTTTTATCCTCACCCGAGGACATTTTTCCATTTTTTGTTCAGATAGAGCAGGAGGTAGAGAGAGAGAGAGAGAGAAACATCGATGTGAAGGGACACATCGAGTGGCTGCCACCCGCACGACCAACCAGGGCCGGGGACAAACTGCAACCGAGGTACGTGCCCTTAGCGGGAACCGAACCTGGGTCTCTCTGTACCGCAGGCCGACGCTCCAACCACTGAGCCAAACCGGCCAGGGCGTACCATATTGTTTTCCATAGTGGCTGCACCAGTCTGCATTCCACCAGGAGTGTACTAGAGTCTCCTTTTCTCCACACCCTCAACAACACTTGTTGTTTGATGATTTGTTGATGGCGGCCATTCTGACAGGTGTGAAGTGATACCTCATTGTTGTTTTAATTTGCATCTCTCTGATGATTAGTGATGATGAGCATTTCTTCATATATCTCTTAGCCATTTGTATATCCTGTTTGGAGAGGTGTCTATTTAGTTCCTCTGCCCATTTTTTAATTGGGTTCTTTGTCTTCCTTTTGTGGAGTTGTATGAGCACTCTATTTATATTGGAAATTAACCCCTTATCTGATATATCATTGGCAATTATGCTCTCCCATACAGTGGGTAGCCTTTCTGTTTTGATGATTGTATCTTTCGCTGTGCAGAAGCTTTTGAGTTTAATGTAGTCCCATGTGTTCATTTTCTCCTTTGTTTCTATTGCCTTAGGTGAGGTATCAGTGAAAATTCTGCTGCGTATGATGTCTGAAATTTTGTTGCCTACATTTTCTTCT